TTCTCTTCTTTCTTTCTTTCTTTCTCTTCTTTTGTTTTCTTTTCTTTCTTTTGTTTTTTCTTTTTTTCTATCTATCTATCTATCTATCTATCTATCTATCTATCTTCCTCTATCTATGTATTTTTCTTCTTTCTTTTCTTTCTTTCTTTCTTTCTTTTTTTTCTTTGTCCCTCTTTCTTCTCTTTCTCTCTCTCTCTCTCTATCTATGTTTCCCTTTTTTTTCTTTCTTTCTTTTGATTCTTTCTTTCTTTTCTTTCTTTTGTCTCTTTTCTATCTATCTATATATCTATCTCATCTCTGTTTCCCCTCTTTCTTTCTTTCTTTCTTTCTTTCTTTCTTTTGTCTTTTGTATTTTTCTATTTTTCTCTGTCTATCTATCTATCTCATCTGTTTCCCATTCTTTCTTTCTTTCGTTCGTTCGTTTGTCTATTTGTATTTTTTTCTTTCTATCTATCTATCTATCTATCTATCTATCTATCTATCTATTTTATACATGAGTCTACAAGTATTCGCTTGGAACGTGATTCCTTGCTTTACTCCTATGCAATTGATGCAGACTGTTTATTGTAAGTCTCATCCACTGGTCATGATAAAATGTAACAAAAATTCATAAAAAGTATTAATCAAATAATCTCATTTAAAAATTCAAATATTGATTATGGATTTTACAAACATTAGACAGTAATTCAATCACATAAAAGAAAATGCTCATATGAATTTAATACGAAAACATCATTTAAAATTTCGTTAACTACGCCTACTCATATTAGATCGCAGAGGATAAGTAACCATTTGTCCTTTTGCTTCCAAACATACTCGTCTGTTAGGATGGTTAGCTGATCCCTGTTGCAGATGTTTGCTCAGACTCATTTGTGTTTGTTTAAAATCCACAGTGCTCACCTATAATTCATACTGCAATTATGCTGAGCAGACCTTAGTTACAATTTCTGAAAGAGAGTGCATAATCTGGCATGATTAGCAGTTTAAACAACGCCAGTACACTCAAAACCTCGGGCACGATGACTTTTGACCAACTATCCCGTTCCACTCACAAAGCTTGGGTTAATTCCTGATATGGTTTTCTGACACTTCCCAACGGTACGTAACGCTGGGATCGTCTCCCAGTTAAGTAAACTTGTGCGCTCAAAATCTCAGTCACTATGAGTTGTGAATTCTCGTGCTAGCTCAACTATCGATGGCTTTCCAAAAGTTTCAATGCTCATAATCACTCACAAGGCTTGGATCAACACATGGTATGGTTTTCAGGCACTTGCCAACGGTGCCAAACGCTGGGATAGTTTTCCCAGGCCGATATGATCAAGAAATCTCCATTTTTATATAACAACCATGGTAAGATTCGAACTCCGATCTCGTGGTCGGAATGTCAGCGTTCTTGACACACGCGCACACTCTAGCATAACCAGTGAATAATATGTAGATCTATGCCTAGATTTGAGCTCAGCCTCATCAGTAGTTTCCGTGATCAAATCGGTTAAAAAGCATCACTCATGGAAAAACGGCCTCCAAGATGTTGGACGAGATTCAAGTTTCAGCTTATTAGGTTGGTTTGGTTTGGTTAATTTAGTTTAGAGGCATATCAACATCTATATGGATTATTTAATACCGAAATCTAAATATTTTGAACACAATTTTATGGCTTCAACCATATTTTGAAACACAATTGTATGCCTTTAACTAGAGATAAAATGTTAGGTTGGTTATTTTGCTATAAGATGTATTGTTTGTCATTTTGCTTTTAAAATCTATCGTTGCTTATGTTACTATATGTTGTGGGACTTGCCCCTTTTTATATAAGATGGACTCGTCCAAAGTATACTTATACTGACAGAGAGAATACCTGCTGTTGAGAAACGTCGAGATACATTCTAGGCAGGTTCAAAGTGTATATTTTTGGCCGAGCCTACGGGCCTTGTGCCACATATATTCCTCGTGGGTGGGATATTAAATACCGAGACACGTCGCGATACAGTCTCGCCGTCTGTTGAACTCTCTGCTTTGGCAGAGAGGAACCCGGACGAGGCTTTGCCGAAGGGCAAAGTTTCGTCCGGGGAGGTAGACAGGCCCTGAATCTGTCTAGGCTGGTTCAAGGGTATATCTTTGGCCGAGCCTACAGGCTCAGAGAAACCCACTTTAAACTCGACTTTGTGCTACAAATATTCTTCGTGGGTGGGATATTAAATACTGAGATACGTTGAGACAGGTTTAGAGATACGGAGACAGACACAGGGTGTTCTCAGAGAGTTATACAAGATATATATATATATATATATATATATGACGGCTTTACTTACAGAGACTTGTACATATACTTTCTACTAACCCGCATTCCTGGACTACTAATCTTCACTTCAAGTCTGTATTCTTACGTTTAATACACTTATTTTTCTATATCAATTACTGGCATTGTTTATTTATTTGTGCAGGATTCCATTCACGGAATCCACAACACTATAAATATTTATTATTGGTCATTTTTTTATATAAAAAATGTATTGCTAGTATTTTTACTATAAATATGTATTGTTGGTATTTTTTCTATAAATAAGTATTTTTTTTATTATCTCACTGTTTTGTTTTTGTTTCGTGGTTCATTATTTGCCCATAGCTGGGACCCTAACAGGTGCTACCATCCCAGGTCAGGATGGATCTGGAAACAACAGCAATTAAGACGTGGTTCCACGCTCCTCAAAACTTCCAATCTCCCGATCAGAGGCATTGCTGCCGGATGTAGTTTATCATCATACCCAGGACTGTTGTTTATATAGTACATATTCATAGTACTCGAGATTTGTATCGACCTGCCGTGTTATGGCAAGAAGAAAGTTAAATGGGTCAGCAAATACTAATGAACAGTATAGTCTAATATATTCAGATATATATTAGTCACTACTTATTTTTATTATTGTTTTATTGACGAGAGAGGATTTTGTTGTTTGTTCTTCACGTGTTAGTTCGAATCTTCGTCGCCACTTGTTATGGTCCAGGTCCTTGTACCACGGGTGATAGTCCAAAGGTAGAACCAATAAAAAAGAACTCGAATATGGATATGGAATAACAAGGATATATTACAAACAGGAATATATATAGAGAAGTAGAAAGTGTTAGTACGAACAATCAGGTTTAGTAGGGAGAACAATGTAGTCTCGACCAGTATCACTATTCCAATGTCTTGTAGTAATTGTCTGAACGCGACTCTGTTTCGGACTGCCTCTGACTCCACTGACTGATTCACTCGCTCTGACTGACTGACAGACTCCTGACAGACCTCACTCCAGACTTCAGACTGAACAGTATTTAGTCATCCCCCCACGAGGGCATCATGTGGTACAAGGCTGGTTTAACGTGGGAGCTCCGAGCCCGTGGACTCGGCCAAAAATGTGCCCTTTGAACCCGTTTAAACTGGTTCAGGGTCGGTTTACCTCCCCGAAAGAGACTTCGCCCTTCGGCGTAGCCTCGTTCGGGTTCCTCCCCGCCCGAAGGCAGAGAGTTCAACTGATCAGCCGGTCGCTCGACTTCGGACGGAACACCCCGCTTCCTCTTGAGGCGCAGTATTTATTACGTATGGAATAGTCCATTACGTTATTATGGGTAAGGTCCCATAACAATTATCTATGTTGTTAAAAAGGGAGATAGATAGTGAAGTTGGGAGAAAGAGAAAAGAGAATGGAGAAAGAGAGAGACAGTAGCAGGAAGAAAGATAAAGAAGTTGAAAAAGAGAATAAGAGAAAGAGATAGAAAGAGTAGTAAAGAAAAAGAGATAAAAAAGAGGAAAATATAAATATATGAGAGAAGGTTAGTGAGAAGGAAAGCGAGAAAGAAAAGGAAAGAAAGAACGAAAGATGAAGAAATGAAGAGAAAAGGAGAGAAAAGAGAACAATACGGAAAGGATAATAGAGAAAAAGTGAAGGCGAAAGAAAGAAGCGATTAAGATCAAGAAGGAGAGAGAGAGAGAGAGAAATTGAGAGAGAGAGCATAAAAAGAAAGATGATACAAAGAGTTGTAGAGAGAGATAGAGAGAATGAGAGAGAGAAAGAGAGATGTAAATGAAAGGAAAAATAAGACAGAAAGCGACATAGTGAGACACGGATAATAAAGAAAATAGAGAGGGAAAGAAAAGAAATAAGAAAAAAAGGATAGATTGATAGATATAAACAGACTGAGATAGATAGATAGATAGATAGATAGATAGATAGATAGATATAAAGAGACGCAGATAGATAGATAGATAGATAGATAGATAGATAGATATGAAGAGACGGAAATAGATAGATAGATAGATATGAACAGATTAAGATAGATATAAACAGACTGAGATAGATAGATAGATAGATAGATAGATAGATAGATAGATATAAAGAGATAGATAGATATGAACAGATTGAGTTAGATCTAAACAAACAGATAAATATATAAATATATATATAAAGATAGATAGATAGATAAATATGAAGAGATGGAGATAGATAGATAGATATGAATAGATAGATAGATAGATAGATAGATAGATAGATAGATAGATATGAAGAGATGGAGATAAATAGATAATAGATAAACAGATTGAATATATCTAAAAATATAGATAAATATATAAATATATATATATAAAAGATAAATAAATGAGATAGATAGATAGATAGATGGGATAGATAGATAGATAGATAGATAGATAGATAGATAGATATGAAGCGACTGGGATAGATAGATGGATTGATGGATCGATAAAGAGATACATATAAACTGACTGAGATAGATAGATAGATAGATAGATAGATAGATATGAACAGACCGAGGATGAATAGTGATGTAATGGAATAACCTGTCACCCCCATGAATGACTACATCATAGGTAGTAACTGCCTATAAGTATCCGTAAGGCAACGGACTACAGGAGTCCAGTTGGAATCTGTTGAGTATGACTCAGACTTACACAAGAACTACTGACCTTCCAATAGTAGCGCTCACTACTGGATTGACTTGCGATGACCTTGTGCATAACTGTCACCTTTATTCTTATTGTACTGGTTTTTACAATAAACCTTTACTTATTTTATCCACCTTGTTTTTCAAGTATATATTCCTATTAGCACGGAATATAACAGCTGGATAGCTAGATAGGTAGATAAAGAGAGAGAGAAAGAGTAAGAGAGAGAGAATCAGAGATAGAACGGAAGAAATTGGGGTAATGAGAAAGGAGGAAGAAAAAAAGGAATGCAATAACGAGTAAAAAATGCAAGTTAGAGATAAATATAGAGATAGATAAATAAGAAAGAGAGAGAGAGAGAGAGAGAGGTAGGGAGAGAGAGAGGGAGGGAGGAGAGAGAGACAAAGAGAATTAGAGAAAGACCAGAAGAAAAAGAGAAAAAACATAGAAAGAGAGAGACTGATAGAAAGACAGAGAGACAGCAAGAGACAAAGAGAAAGGAAAAAAAAAAATTGAAATGGAAGGAAGAACAAATAAGAAAAAGTGAGATAAAGATAAATATACACAGAGAGAGAGAGAGAGAAGTAAAGAGAAACAAGATAACGAGAGAGTAGGGTAAGAAGAGAGAGAAGAGGTGGAATAATAAGAGGATAGATAGATATAAAAAAAGAAATAGAGAGAGAGAGAGAGAGAGAAGAAGAGAGCAACGAGAGAACGAGAAAAACAAAAGAAAAAAAGGAAATAGATAGATAAAATAGGATAGATAGATAGATAGATAGATAGATAGATAGATAGATAGATATGAAGAGTCGGAGATAGATAGATAGATGAAGATAGATAGATAGATAGATAGATAGAAGAGATTGATAGATAGATAGAGAGAGAGAGAGAGAGAAAGTGGAGAGAGATGAAAATATGGAATGTAAGGGAATAATAAAGTAAATAAATAAAATAAATATATATATATATATAGAGAGAGAGAGAGAGGGGAGTGTGTGTGTGTGTGTGTGTGTGAATCGAGAAAAGAGTGAGAGAACGAACGAGAGAAGAGAGCTAGAGACAAAAACACACACAGAGAGAGAGAGAGAGAGAGAGAGAAAGGAAGAAGAAAAAAAATGAAAGGAAAAAGTAAATAAGAGGTAGATATATATAGAGAGAGGGAAGAGAGAGAGAGAGGAGAGACAGGGAGGAGGTGTTCGAGTAAGGGAGAGAGAAAGAAAGGAAGAGTAAAGCGCATCAAAGGAAGAATTAAGCGTTGATATTTCAAGACCCTCTGTTCACTTCCACACAAGAAGAAGAACTAATTTTCTTAGCATTTCAATGACTGTCTTTGAAAGGTCACCCAGGTTCATGACCTTCGCATGATAAGGCGCTCTTAACATATAGGCACACGCAATCTCGGGTCATTCAAAGCAGAACCCCCCCCCCTCGGCCAATCTTCAAAAAGAGAGAAAGAATATCGAAGCGATCAAAACTTCCTTCTCTCAATATGGCTTAATGGTTATAATATCGGTATAGTGACCGTCGAATTTGAGGTTGCGTTTCGAACCGTGTTGGTAGTCCCTTTTACCACAAATGTTAAATGGTCTTTTTCTTTCATATGGCATCTCTTTAACCTTCACTTACCTCTTCTTATCTTATATACTGTAGCCTTTCAGTACGTGGGAAATGATGGCTCTCCACAACTTCCTGTCTTTTGTAAAAAAATTTTCAGTAATTATAATTGGCTACAATAGTCATTTAAATGTTATAAGTTTAGGTAGTTTTAGAGGAGGTATGGTGGAGTTATGGATAGCGGCTCGGATTGAGGAATCGGAGAACAGAGTTCGAATTCCAGTCGAATCCATGAATTTACTTATGTGCTAATAATCTTGGGAAAGGTATGAATTCTCTTCTTCTCCTATGGGTAAGTAGCAGGATATTGTCTTGAATGGAAACTGGTATACCGCAGAAAGAAATGGCAACCTACTGCGGGAAAAAATTATTCTCTTCTTCTCCTATGGGCAAGAGCAGGTCATAATGGCAACTGGTCTACCGCAACCTACTGCGGGGAAAAATCTGTCAGTCATGTACGGAAAGATACATGATCGTAGAAGTAGTTTTAAGTTATATAATTTTAGAGTAGATAATTAACAAAACAAAACCGAAAATTGATACCAAACCTTGTTTGGCAAACAGTGTTTAAGTTTAAGAATGTTAAAATACCTCTTTGGTTATCCACTGAAGCTGTTATCCATACGATAAAGAAAAAAAAAGGTGCCAGTCCCCCTTGGACTATTTAAAAATTCATTCCCTGTAGTGGATTGGTTGTTGCGAACATCCAATCAAGTGCGTAGAAAACGTTGTCTACTTACGTCCAATTTAGTATAAAGGCCAGAGTCTCTGCTAGCGTTTGATAGCGGAGGGGGAATCAGGGATTGATCTCTGCTGATTCGGGTCGGCTTGGTGATGGGGTGTATCCTGTTGCAAGACCCGAAACTCCCTGATGAACCAAAACAATTTATATAACTGACGACTCCTTCTGGTGTGCCTATTTAAGAGCGTTTATTCAAAAGTCACTTTTATTCTTTAGCTTTCTTATTTTGTCTTACCAACCATTTGCTTACAATATATTTTCTATTTCCTCCTGTATCTCTTGCATTCAACTTCTGGGTTTGATTCGTTAGTTTTACAGCTTGAAGAGAGGCCATTTTAGGACCAATAATGTAATTAATATTTTGATTAAAACATGTCTCATCTGGTATGAATTAGCGCCTTTATGATATTTCGAGGAGGCACGGTGGAGTAATGGATAGCGGCTTGGAATGAGGAATCGGAGAGCCGAGTTCGAATTCCAGTCGAATCCATTACATTTACTTACGTGCTAACACCCTTGGGAAAGGTGTGAATCCTCTTTCTTCTCCCTCCAGCTATGGGTAAATAGCAGGACAGACTGGGTTCTATAGCCTTGGATGGCCACTGGTCTAGGAGAAGGAAAACCCTGAATTCAAACCTGCTCTTAGTGGAGGGTGAATGGAGTCTCTTTGAGCCTTGGTTGGCAATCTATTTAGTGATGGTGTCACGATAAAAATCACCCTTGATTGCCCTAGCGAAGCACGAAGAATTCAGCTATTTGACAAGATTATGAACTACACCAATCAAAGTGAGTTTAATCTCGGTTGAGGCCGCAAGATGATGTTATGATATTTTTTCGCTTAGTAATTTACTCTAAAAATTTACACTTGAGGCTTAACCTAAAATCTTTGCGAACAATGTAATTTTTTTTTAATTGGGCAAGCCCGTTCAAGACGCTCACAACCCATAAATTGCATCATTTCCATTTCACCTCATATTATAAAAACGTTATAGATGTTACGCGCTGCTTCTTCTTGCCTTCAGTATTTCCCGCCAGTGTTAAATTCTGAAAACCCTCTTTCCTGATTATGTGTCACAGAAATTCCAGTTGTCTCTGATTCTTAGCAGGTGTTTCCTTGTAGCTCTTCTTTTTCTTCAGACTTTCTCATTATCAATACGATCACCGGTTAAGCAGCGTCGATCCTGGTCAGTACCGAGATGAGTGACCGCTTGGGAATACCAAGTGCCGCAAGGTTGGATGTGCGGGTGGTGTAATGGATAATGTCCCGGAATTGTTAATCCGATAGCCGAGTAATAACTGATCAGGATTAAATAGGAATTAGGCATTAGAAAAGAAACGGGAGAAATACAACTCAGTTTCAGTTCCAAATTTATGGTGGTTACCCCAGATCAAGCAAGCACCTGATGATAGGCCAGCCCTAAAGTCTTAAAAGTATATATATATATATATATATATATATATATATATATATATATATATATATATATATATATAGTTAATATTAGTGGTAAATATACATACATATGCAAAATATATAAATACCCATACATGTATATTTTTTTGAATAAAAATTCAAGAGGATAGAATCCAGGTAGAACTCAATGTCCAGGACAGAGTAAGGATATAATAAAAAGGCTTAAGCACTAATATTCCATGGTGATAATTTATTCCATTGGAATCGTAAATACGATCCAATTCATCAGACTTACAAATTCAAAAAGAAAACAGAAAAAACAACTCCGGAAATAAAAACAGAAGTTAGAGAGAGTGTAAGTATGAGGGGTAACAGACTAGAGAAGGAGGGAGATTAAACCATAACAGAGAGAATTAAACCCCTTCCACTCACCTCTCCTAAAATTCATTAACCTTTGCATTAGTTTTGTGTGAATAATTTATATATATATATATATATATATATATATATATATATATATGATTGTATGTAGTCGATTTAGTCGTAGATTCTAACCGACGCCAGGCAAAGAGAAAGGTGAATTTTTGTGTATTTATTTTTTCTTAAGCACACCAGTCACTTAGAGAACTCAATCAACTTGGAGAGTCTTGCATTATTAGCAGCAATAGTGACTGTTTACAAATTCGTTCTTTAGTCTCTGCAGTGCTCGATCAATTAAATTATTTCATCGTACTTTTTCGCTGTATCACAGCTCATCAATGTGGCTAGACATCAGGTCGCTTCAGGCTGGGACCGAAACCCGATAGGTTCAATTAACGGTCACAAGCCCCGCAAAAAAAATGAGAAAGAAGTACAATTTGATGGTGCTTTTTTATTGGCCCGCGCACAACGACCAAAATGCTGTGATAATAGCAACAAAGATGTGGACAGTAATCCGAATATAAATACTGCTATCACCGTCATACAGAAATTCACACAGAAAGTATCATAAATGATTTGTACTTCCCGTTACTACTGACAGTACCAGCAAGTACAAGCTAACAACCAATGTTTAATATTTGCCCGTTTATAATCAAGATCAATAAGGCAACTCTATATTAGGCTTTTTTTTTGGTCGATTTTAGAGAGGCTGTTTCTTTTATTCATCGTGTTATGGTGGAACCAGAAGAAAAAAGAAAAAGAAAGTAAAGAATTCTTGTATAACGCTAGATGCATGATAGGGGAAGAAATCTGCCGATTGAACAGGCGACGGTAGAAGGTAGACGTGAAAGAAACTTCTTGATAACATTTCAAATAAAAATATCGATCCATGCCCTATCTACTCAGTGGCGGTAAGCAAGCGAGTTGATCAGCTTGATCGAAGAAGGCACAAGTTCGCTGGGCGTCGATGAATGGGGAATACACATAACCAGACGTTTGTTGAAGCTATTTTTACATAATACGTCCCTCGATACCCACAGCAAACACCCCAACCCATTCGCATAGAAACAGCAATCCGTCAGCAGTTATTTGGTTTGCTTTTAGATCTAGTGATTTTTATACCATTGTTTACCCAATACAAAGTCCAAGAGCCACTCAAGTTAGAGTATTACTGAATGAGATTGGATGGTCCTAAGAGAAGGACGTAAGAAGTGTACAGTATGAGAATTCTCGCTTTCTCTCTAGTTGCAGATTCGTAAATTCATGAGCCAATGAAAAGGCATCGCCACATACTGCTTCTTTCTCCTTTCTTGTATGACCGTTAACTGAACCAATCATATATATCCAGCGTCTTATATTCACGTGTTTATCGTTGCTTGGAAATCATCCATGTAAACAGAAACAGAGTATCACCACAATCTTGACCATATATATTCTTGCTTAATATATTTTACAATAATTGACATCTTTGATAATGGCATATGTAAGCCGAAAGCTTAGATTGGATAAAAAATATGTATCAATATTGTGATTTTCTTTCTTCGTTTAATGATAATGTTATTAAGCTTATCAGACGATATGAAAAGAATTTACATAAAATAAATAGACAGCACTATATTATTTAATGAAACATGTATGAATATATATATATATATATATATATATATATATATATATATATTCACATGTATAAATACATATTTTTTCACATATATATTACTCACAACAATCCAACTAAATATGTCAGCTCTATCACTGATATTAAGCACTCTAAAACAAATAAATAAAAATATATTAAACCTTTCCCACCGTCTCGTTTTAATTCCGAAATTTCGATAAAATAAACACTAAGAACTCTGGCATATTATCTTCTATTTTACGTACACAGTGTTTCGGGTAGAAATTCAAGAAAAAAAAAGTTTAATAAATAATAGGCATCATTTAAATTGTATTTGAATTAAGTAGATAACAAATTATAATTCTTCAAGTGGTGCCTTCGATTTGACTGTTACAGTCAACGGGTTTCGAGCCTTGTACCACCTGGCCGTCATCAGAAGAAAATTTATGAATATGAAATCAGTTTTTACTGTATATTTCAGCGTCAAACCTATCATGAGAGCAGCTGATGTATCAATCGGTGATCAAGGAAATGATATGTATCTTTCAAAAGTATAATAATAGTGCAATCTTAATAGCTAATAGTAATGGTAATATTAGCCGTTTCCCTATAAGGAAACATTTGGCATTCATTGACCGAACAGTCAGTACAGATGTCGGTTGAAATTTATAAAATCTTAATCTTAACACAATTTTTTAGGAAAATATGTTTCTCGTGGTGAGTCGCTGTTACATTTACAAGTAGTGTGGAATCTCAACATCTTGATTATGTCATTATTTTCCCTTCTCAAGCCCAGTAGCTGTTATCACTCTTTCTAGTATTGACTGAGGTTTCCTTCCTAACCTTTTGTTTGAAGTAGTGTGGAATGTCAACATCATGATTATGTCATTATTTTCCCTTCTCAAGCCCAGTAGCTGTTATCGCTCTTTCCAGTATCGATGGGAGATTCCTTTCAAATCTTTTGTTTGAAGTAGTGTGGAATGTCAACATCTTGATTATGTCATTATTTTCTCTTCTCAAGCCCAGTAGCTGTTATAACTCTTTCCAGTATTGATGGGGAGTTTCCTTCCAAACCTTTTGTTTGAAGTGTGGAATGTCAACATTTTATGTCATTATTTTTCTCTTCTTAAGACCCGTAGCTGTTATCACTTTTCCAGTTTGAGAGGAGTTTCCTTCCAACCTTTTGTTTGAAGAATGTCAACATCTTGATTATGTCATTATTTTCTCTTCTCAAGCCCAGTAGCTGTTATAACTCTTTCCAGTATTGATGGGGAGTTTCCTTCCAAACCTTTTGTTTGAAGTATTGTTGAATTTTCTCTTCGGGTTAGTTGTTGCTGCTGTTGAAATTCCTCAAGTGATGTGGTTCCTGTTATTTGGTACAATTCTTTGTTTGCCATTGTGTTGTGCCTGTCCACAACGTTAAAAGTAGAATGGCCTCGCATAAAAATCAAACGATAAAAAAATGAAGGAAAAGAAAACCATCAAATGAAATAGAATGAATTGAGTTTTTTTTTCGAAATGAGGGCCGACAAAACCTTCCTAGTGCTTCGTGGGTCAGCTTAGAAAAATGCAATTAAAATAGAAATTAAAAATAATGTAAACGTTAAAAAGAAATAAATAGTATATATATATATATATATATATATATATATATATATATATATATATATACTTATACACACACCCACACGAATATACACACTTACACACATCATACTCATTCACTCCCTAATGAGCCAAATGATAACAC